TTCATGGATTTGGTAGGCCAGCCACCAACTATCACAGTGCGCCCCGCTAATGCCCACAGATTTGGAGATTCGGCAACGACTCCAGCTTCGTCCCTACTGCACCCCAGATTGTGACGGTTCACTTGATGCTCGCGACCATCACCTACCAGATCGCGACCCGCAACAGCCAACACAGCGGCAGCACGATGCTGGACGATTCGCATGCCCACTACATGTACGCGCTGAGTTTCTACAAGGAGCTCATCCGCGGAGACCACGGCTGGGAAGACGTTCAAGCCATGGCCATGATATGCCACCATCTCCGGACCTTCCCCAAGCCCGGCGCGGCGTGGATCATGACCTCGACTGTCTACTTGTTCGCTGTCCAACTGGGTCTGCACAGATCTGTCAAAGTCTGGGTAGACGGCACCGGAGAACTCGGCAAGCTGGACATCGAGATGAGGAAACGAGTCTACTGGACGCTGCACGCGCTGCTGGTTAACCTTAGCGGAAAGCTTGGACGGCCGATACCCATCAGCATAAGTGACATCGATGTCGAATTCCCGGAGCCAATGAACGATTGTCTGCCTGGCGAGGAAGGCAAGCTGGACATCTTCCATCAATGCTCGTTCCAAGTTGGCATACAAATGGCTAAATACATTGTCTGGGAAACGGAACTCTACAAGATCATCTATGCTGTTCGACATTCGCCGAAAACATACCTGGAGGGCTTGAAACGCCTCGAAGCCGGCATACAACAGTGGAAAGATGACCTCCCTTATGAGTTGCGCGACCCGTCGCATGCGTCTGAAGATGACCACATATTCGCCTTGTATCTCGAGTACTGGTACCAGGCGTTCAACCTACTCCTACACCATCCAGCCGTTTGCAGGTCCACTGACACGGCCATCATCAATTCTAACCTGGACAAGTGCCTGACTGCATCGCAGAAGATGCTGCACAACTGTACGGCGATGATGAACAAAAAGAGTCTGGATATTCCCTGGATCAACACGGTTGTTTACATTGCCGCTGCCTTCACCACTCTCTTCATCTCGTCGATGCGGCAAGAGCAACTGTCACCTGTGGATATGACAAAGCTCAAAGGCGACATGGCAGCCTGGGTTAATGTGCTTGGCGAATGCGACCAGTTTCTGGGATCCGGCAACAAACTCAAAACTGCCGTCGCAAGGATCGTCGACCAGTCGCTTAGTAACATCAACGACAACATTGTCAAGCGAACTGCGACCGAGTCTCTCGCTCGCGTAGCGATGCATGCTCCACCCCGATCGACGAATACCGCCCCCACGTACGACAACAGCGGGTACCGCGACCAGTACACAACCTCATCCAGTTCACCCACGGACCCCACCCTCACCTCACAGTCGGTAGGCCCGTACAGTGGTCTTCCGGGAAACACTACACATCCATACAGTCTTGGCACCCCGGTGGCTCTCCCTCAGCATACGAACAGAACGTACGAACAACACGCATACAGCAACGGCGATGAGACAAGCATGCATGCAAATCATGCAGCAGCACTGGCAGGAGCAGGCTCGGGTAGCATGTCGCAACCCTCAACTGATGCGTACGCCTACAGTAATGCGCAAATTGCCAACAACGGCCACCAGCCCGCGTACGCGGCTAATACCTATGCTCCTCAAGACTGGAGCCAATGGACACGAGCATACATGCAGCCACATAGCCAGCCCGGTGAATACCTAAATACAGCAACCACTCTCATGACCCTGGGTCGAGACGGTGGGTCCCAGGGAACTGGGAGCGACGGCCAAGGGCTTGTCCAAACATCCGGAGTCCAGGGACACGCTCCCAGCCATTGGCCAGATATCGCATTCCCGAATGCCGCGACTGGTGGCAGCCACATGGCTCAACATTGAGCTGGGAAACACGACACATGGCACATAGAAGGCTGTGTACCTTCGGCTAATCTACATGGGTATTTGATCTTTACGGTCCGGCGTAGTGGCAACCTTCGATACCCGGCATCTGGAACACTTTGTGGGGTTAATGTACGGATATGAAGCGGCTCTCTGCGAGCTGCATGTGTTTGGTAATTTTAATTGCAAGATCTTTTCTTATGTATAATACTTCGGTTGGAGGCCAGATCCCGTTCTTCGGATAACGAACGGCTGGACACGATACGACGACCGGCTGATGTTGGTCAGCAAGGGGTAGATGTGGTGTTGTTGTTGAAGGGATACGGGATATTTGCCGAGTTGCAAACAAAGGACCATTGCAGTCGAAACAATGAAGATAATGATAATATCGAAGTAGGCCCTTCTCTGTCGTAGCCTGTCTGATAACAATACTTCCACAAACCATGCCTTCTCTTCCTGCGAACATCCACGGGTCGGCCGTAATCATCGCCACAAGATCTACTCTCCGTCCAGACCTCACCCAGGTAAATTGCCCGCCACCCGTCGCCTCGGTGCTACAGTGCGGACCCTGGGGAGTGCGCGCATCAATCTAGCAGCAGCACTAACCCGTGCCACCTAGGCTAAAGTAGGAAGCCGACTTGACTACTTGGCACGACCCCACCAATCGACCTTCCATTCGAGCACCAAGCCCGATAAGCTTCTGTACTTCGATCCACCGCGCTTGGTCACTACGTAAACCTCCTTCTGCTTTGGAGCTGGCGGTGCAGACAAGCACGACAGATCTCCTAAGCTTTTTTCGGTGCCATCAGCGGTTTAATAGGCGTTGAGTTTAATGACTCGGTAAGCCTTGCAGCCGATGATCCTGTGGCCCTTACCAAGGGCCGCAGGATGGGCGGCAAAACGGTATAGCGTCGAACTTAGCTATGTATATATGGGCGGCCTGAGGATGGCGAAGATGGATCTCTACGCCGTTCTTTCGTCCTTGAGTCGCTTTCGTGGTCTGTGCCGTCGATTGGGCTGTGTGTCTGACAATCTTGGTACCGAAGCTGCGCAGAAGAACATCTTCGCTCTTCTCCCGACACTCATACCTCACTCGCGCGGATCTCTTGCGGAGGTAATCCGGGTGCAACAGTTCCTATCCACGCATCGTTACTCCTTTCATCCTCAACATGCGGTCCTCGGTCTCCGTCGCGGCAGTGGCCCTCGCCCTATTGCAGGGCACCAACGCCCTGAATGCGGCCATTCAGCGCAAGCTTAATCTGCTTGCCGATATGGGCATGAATCCAGATGGCTCGGCCATGGTTACTTTCTCCGACGATGCCGAAAACAGCGCTTTCGATCCAGCGGCTTTCAAATCCCTCAAGATTGCGACTACGTCAAACAGCCCGGCTGTGTTGGCTGCCGCGCCGCTCAGAAACATCACTCCGGAATATGTCGAGCTGCCACTGGACCACTTCGCCTACAAGAAAGGCCAGGATCCTTCGTACCATGGCACATTCTTCAACAGGTACTGGGTCAACATGGACGCGTACAAACCTGGCGGTCCCGTTTTCCTCTACGACACGGGCGAGGCAGATGCAGAGCCGGGTGCGCTGACAAGGCTGCTGAACGAAACCAGCTTTTTCAAGCAGCTCGTCGATGATTATAACGGTATTGGGATAGTATGGGAACACCGCTTCTACGGAAATTCGACACCCACGCCTATCGACCTCAACACGCCAGCCGAGGCATTCGAGTTCCTGAACACGGAGCAGTCGCTTAAAGATGTCGACGCCTTCGCTAGGCAGTTCAGCAGGAAGGGTGTCAACACTACGCTCACACCCGACAAGACTCCTTGGGTTTTCGTTGGTGGCTCGTACCCCGGTATGAGGGCCGCTTTCATGCGCAACATGTACCCTGATACCATCCACGCGTCTTGGGCCTCTTCAGCTCCCGTCGAAGCTTCCGTTGATCAAAGCTTCTACTTCTCACCTATCTGGCGCGGTATGCATGCCAAGGGCTTCGGAAACTGCTCGGAGGATGTCCACGCTGCTGTTAACTACATGGACAACATCATGGACACGGACTCACGCGCAACCGCCAAGCTCAAGGAGCAGTTCCTTGGACTTGGAGCTGCCAACAACTCTAACCCAACCTTTGCCGATGCTCTTACGACTCCCTTCTACCTATGGCAGTCTTACGGTATGGAAGGTGGAGTTTTGGGTCTCCGTCAATTCTGCGACTACCTCGAGAAGGACCCTAAGACGAACACTACAGCTCCCGCGGAGGGCTGGTCCAAGAGCAAGGGCGCGAAATGGACGGTTGATCGATGGGCGAGCTACCCTGTCTTTGTCAACAACACGAACGGTTACTTGGAAACCGAGTGCTCGGGCAAGTTGAACGTGACTGGTAACTGTGACCTGAACCAGAGGTTCACAGATCCCGCCTCAATTGCCTGGACGTGGCAATACTGCACACAGTGGGGTAAGTCATCATATTTCCAACTCCCTCCTTGCATAATACTAATTTACCCATTAGGATACTTCCAATCCGCCAACCTTGGATCCCAGCAACTCGTCTCCAAGTACAACTCGCTTGAACACCAAAAGGACATCTGCCACCGCCAATTCCCCAACGCTCCCAAGTCCCTCTTCCCTGAGTGGCCAAACACCGCCCGCACCAACAAGATCTTCGGAGGCTGGGATATCCGTCCTTCAAACACCTACTGGTCCAACGGTGAATTCGATCCCTGGCGCACTCTCTCCCCCGCTTCCGCTGAGCCCTTTGCCCCCAAGGGCGTCCAAGTTATCCAGGATGTGCCCAAGTGTGGAAAGAAGACGAGCAGGAACGAGCTGTTCGGCCTAGTCCTCAAGGACGCGCAGCATTGCTACGACTTCAGGACTACGGGCTCTACCGTGCCCGATGGACCCGTTAGTCGGACGTTATTCAGGAAAGCGCTAAGCGAGTGGCTGCAGTGCTACAAGCCCAAGAAGGGCCAATCGAAGCCTTGGAACGCGTAGACGCAGATGCAGGTCTAGGAAAGGGCCGTCCCCTTGCTTCGGGTAGAAGAGGTGGCATTGCTACGTATTGTTCTTCCCTGCCACACCTTACTTAGACGTCATGATAACTCTTATTCTTATCATCTTACAACTTTGACCTCGCCACGATGTCGTGTTCTTGCTCTCGCTTTTTATCCAAGCGAGCTTCCCATTCCCAGACTTCCCCTGTGAACCTATCCTTCTCCCACGCCGAGTACACATTCCTCTTCGCTTCCTCGCCACTAACCCCACACATTTCCCCCCACACCTCCAACTGCTCTTTGAAACCTGGATTCGGGTCGCACACCGGTCGTCCCTCACATAGCTGGTCCAACGCTGCGGCAGGGGTGATGTTGTACTTCCAGATTAAGTATGCGCAGACGAGTGTTGCGGACCGGGACTTTCCCATTGCGCAGTGGATGAATACGCCGCCGTTTTCGGCGTTTAGGGCTGAGTCGATGTACTGGACGGCGGGGGTGAAGTCTTTGAGGAGATCGGTGTTTGGGTGGTCTTCTGAGCGGATGTGGAAACTAAACGTGAAGAATATATCAGTATGCTAAAGTGAGTGAAGGCTAGATGTAACCACGCAGATCACCCTGGTTTCGGTCTGATGGCATCCCTAGAACGAATACAACACATACTAAACCGTCAGTTAGCACACATACGTGAGCTGAGTTTTGACAATCGTTGCACGTTACCTGTTTCAAATGCCTAAATTTATCCTGTAATAAAGGGTCATAATCTATCACTGATAGAACGTGCGTTATGCCTGCTTTGTCTATCAAGTCGCCTTGGTATAGCGCGTAGAGGCCGCCGATGTAGAGTTTACCCGCCCGAGGGACGAGATCGACCCAGCCCATGCCTGTGTGTCCTGTGCTGCCGTGGAGGAGGAAGGACATGTAGTCGGGAAGCTAGCCAAGTAAAAAGGGTAATGCGAAGAGCTGTAGAATGGGTAATGCGGTAGATGTGCGATGGAGTTGATGGCTATGGGAGGATGAGAAAGTCCAATCGGGGAGAAAGTACCGAGGTACGATTGGAACAGGACATCATGTACTTCTTGATATAATTTCTGCATGTATCTGCACGCGCTTTTTCTCTTCTTTCGCATATCTTCCATTGACATGCGATGGGTATCGTCGCCGCAACGTCCAAATGGTGTTGTTTGAGAAGTGCTGCCCGCAATTGGCCAATGACAACCGGTGAGAGGAGGCCCCACGTGCGTGGAGCGCTAGACGGCGGACGCGCCTTCCAGCCTCGCCATGAGACGCGTCAAACTTCACACTCATTTTCTGCCATCATCACGCACATTTCCCAGAGACCGCGCGACATCTTCTCGACATCTTAGCCCGTACATCGCGGACCACTATGCGACTGGACCGTAGGCATGAGCTCGAACGATGTTTGTGCGCGCGGGCTAAGACATGACGTCAACGCAACTCCACCAGATTGATCGAAACACCATCATGCGCTCACCCATACGGACTAACATGAAGATGGTTTATTAGCATGGGAATTTTAACGAGAAAAACCGTTGCTCACGTGTCGCGGCTTGCAGGACCGGCAGGAGATGTTATCTCCGTACCTGTTTCCCAGTGTCACAATCCTTTCATTTCATCAGCTTGTCTGTTTTTCAGATGGAGAAGTTGCGATTTCGCCAAAGAGATTGCTCGCATACATGCACAGCAAAAGAGTCGCGATCATTCGGGCGGTATGTATACGTCCCGGCGGTGAGAGTATATTAACGTTGTGTAACGCGATAGCGCGCTGCGGCGTCCAAACTAAATGATTTCTATAACTCGTCTGGTGAAAGGGAATATGGCGACGGAGTGTCCCAAATTGGCTAGCCGCAGCTAGACGCAGGTTTGAGCAAACAAACACGTTCGACATATATATCGCTCAGTCGTCTCTGAGTCTCATCTCTACACAGCTCGCAAGATGTCGCTGAAGCCAGTCCACATCGCCCAGGGGCCGTTCTTCTACCCCGTCGGCAACACTCCAGCTGTGTGCTTGACGCAAGCCCTACCACCCGAACAAGATGCCGCCCTGCTACTCCTCGGCTGTGGAGATATCCGAAACATCCTCTTCACTGCTTACAGTGGAGCTGGGGCTGGTGAGTGCTGGGACGCGACCTTGATTTACTCTCGCTCAGACTGACTAAAGCGCAGACGACCGAAAGCTCGATTTCACATGTTGCGACCTTGAGGTGGAGATCATTGCGCGCAATGTACTCGCACTGACACTCATCCTTGACGACGCGGAAGGTGCCCTTGTCCGACAGCTATGGAACCTCTACTATCATGTCTTCATCGACGACGAATCCGCCAGTCTTCTGCGATCTCAGTCAAAGAAACTCTTGGAACTTGCGCATTCCTTGGAGAGTTGGAATGAAGGTCCGTACGGCACGATCATCCGATTTTGCGACAGCATCACACTCGAGAACGCGACTAAGCTTTGGGCGCTGTATGCGTTGGAACCCGAGAAAGACGACACGTACAAGGAGACCCAAGAAATTCTAAAAGGTCAATGGCAAGCTGCCAAGCAATTACAGGCAGGAAAGGCTGGTATGGGTTTCGCGGGAGACGGCATTCGTGCATTCGCCCCGCTTATGATTCAAGGCCTCGAGGATGCCGGCAAAGCCTATAAGACATACTGGAAGAGTGGTACATGTCTCGAGGACAACAAGACCATCAAGAAACTCTCGATCGCCAATCCCATGTTCGTTTGTCATCGTAGTGGCCTTGTTCTTCACTACGATACCAGCCCGCTCACTGGTTTCCACCTTGCCACTACGCATGCTCGACTCTCCGTAGACTCGCCCTTGTTCGTATCGAGCGAGACCACAAAGGGGAAGGTGCCAAAGTTCATGCAGGTGGCGCTCAATCAGCTATCTGCCTGGTGCATCGCGTTCAGGATAGCATCCACGCGTATCACCATTCGCCATGTCAACTCTGACGCTGTCGGGTTCTGTCACGTTCTTCAACATCAACATGTACACGGCGAGTCGCGCACGGCTCATTGGTATCGCAACATGTGGACGTACACCCCACTGGTCCTGGACGCCGCTGAATACGAACAAGGCGGATCTGCACCTACGGCTTTCGATGTTATTGACACTTCCAATTTGCTCGACCATGTGGGCTGTCTCAACATTCTTGCTGCAACCGCGTCATTGATTCGCCAAAATGCATCGTCCATCCTCCGGACAGAGATGCTAATACCATCCGAAATGGACGTGGCAGCTTCAGCCAAAGCCCTACTCTGTGGACATCTTCCGACGGTAGCTCTACTACTCGGTCTGAAACCCATTCAACACTGGACGAATGCAACCTCCATTTGGCACCTGAACCCTTCCAATTTCCCTGATCTCGACAAGATGGGCATGCTCACTGCAGCAGCATCTCGGCCAATCGTGCTTTGGAAGCCGTTCAATACTTCCAACGTCCGTTACGATGCGGCTGAGCTAGCTAGACTGCTTCTGTCTATCTATCTGAAAATGTTCCAGGATGAAGGATGGGCTAATCGCTTCTCTATGCTAGGCTTAGGCAATGCCGAGCTGATGCAGAAGAAGCTTACTGCGTACGAACTCTATACCCGAGCAAGTTTCGTGTCACTGCTCCAGCACATCAAGGTGTCCAACGTCGTTGACTGGTCCCCCTTCATGCAAACTCTGGTCCAAATAGGCATCATGAACGACAGAACCTTGAATATGGGTCCACACAACTTTCAGTCTCTCCTCGTGCACCTGGACATGCTCGGGGTGTGGAAGATAGAAGATCATTTCGATTGGTGGCATCCTCGAACCTTTGAATTGGGTGGTCCGTTCCTCAAATGGGAGGACATCCCTACACTCCTGTGCGTTACACTTGTCGTTCCTCACGACAAGGTCTCGATGTTCGGCGACCTTGCCAACGGCCATGGTACTCCCTTATGCCAACTCCAGCTCAGTTCGTCAGTCAGTCAGAAGGAGGCTCTCTACACGGATATACAGATGGGTTTCGGAACGATCGAGACTTCTGGAACCGCGTTCACGAATGACTATGGAGTAACGGTCCGAGAAGACGATAAAGGCTGGAAGGGCAAGTCGCCATTGATTGTGTCCGCTATGGTCTCCACTTGTACCCTCACCGAATACAAAGATGATGCTTGTGGCGTCGTCTTCGGACTTAAGAGCACTCCACTAGCTCAGCAGCAGTTTACATCCATGTTTGGCATGATGTTGCACGTGCATCGATCTGCGGTTGGTCAGAAAGATGTCTTTTTGACGCGACACCGCCCAGGCTTCCAAGGTTTCGTTTCCGTGAACGAGGTTGCCACGTCCAAGCCGACTAATGGTATGTTGAACATCTCTTCAATCACAACTTTTGCTAACAAAGGTCTAGTGTCCGACGTCGTCGCTACCATACATCCGCTCATCAGTAGCAACAGAGGCGAAGTCGAATCACTGCGAGTTCACTACGCTGTTGATTCAGGGAAGGCAAAAGAGCTTCTGCAGAGTGGAGCCATCGTCTCATTCGAGCTTACGACGGCATTCGCGCTACGGCTCTTCATTGGGAAGACGTATCGAATGGATGTAATACTTCCTTTCCCACCGAACGCGGCCAGCGCCAAGACTAAGATCGCCCGCAAATCACTATGGATAGAGTACACGGCTGCCGTGCAGAGTGAAGCAGCAATGTTCCGGCGTCCAGACACCATGATGCCTGTCCATCTTAATGAGCAGTAAGTGAATCACGGGTATTGTATTGCATGAACTAACATATCTTAGTTATGGCGTCTCTCTTGAACAGCTACATTACGTTCAACCCAATGTTTTGCCTAAGCTCAATCTTGGTCAGCAGTCCTCGTACACCAATTGGATCAGCTTGCATGCTTCTCCCATAGCTACCATGTCGGGAGGAGAGCTGCGAGCCTACAAGAAGTTCAACGCTGACGAGTCATCAACCATGCCCGGACGCCTTGGTGTAAAAGAGACCCTGCAGAGCATTTACGCACACCTGGTGGGACAAGGCGGTGAACAGGCCAAGATCTTCCAATTCTGTACACCCACATCATACTTCGGCATACTTTACGTCGATTCGGTTCGTATGGATGTCTCAAACCAGTCCCTTCTCGCCGATGCCGCATTCATTCCCTGCCACGCGAGCGCAGACATGGCGCCACTTGTTGTCTTGCTTCAAGCTCGCCGCGACAAGATTATTTGCATCAAGATGAAGGAGGACGAGATCATCTTCTGGAAGCACATCCTACCAGGGTTTTCCGAGCGATGCCGACAGTGGCAGCACAAGCCAACATGCGAGTACAAGGTCGCAGGATGCATCCCCATCTCAACTGACCCCGACAAGCGCTACATGTGCACATGCGGCTACAACGTCTTCCCCACAAACTACCTCAAAGATCTCAAACAATCCAAAGATCTCCTCAAACACGCTGTTCGTGTCGCAGTCCCAGTCATCTTCGCTTCGCCCATCAACACCGATAATCCTGCTTCTCTACCGTCGCCCTCACCTCCTGCGAAGCCGCCAGCAAAGCCTCCAGTAAAGCCTCAAGCTCAAGCACCTGTGGATAAACCCGAACCTCGTTTGGTAGACCTTAGTGCGAAGGAAGGCAAGTGTTGGGAGTGCAGTGCTAAGCGCCACGAGAATGGTGGGGTTTTAGATAGATGCGGTGGATGTAAAATGGCTCGCTACTGTTCCGACGGTTGTCAGAAGAAAGATTGGAAGAAGGGCCACAGGCAGTTGTGCCCCCAGTTGAAAGAAGACTAAGGTGCTTGACTGCGCTCATTGTGGTGGTAGGGGTAGGAGCTACATACTACAAGCACGCCTACTGGAAAACCCACGTCCGGCTTCCGCGAGGACACCCGAGCTGCGTTAGTAGCCTACTTGCTCGGGATGGAGGGGTCGATTGGAGGAGTTGTGACAAATCTGCCGCTCATCTCTGGCGATCGTTGGGTACCAAGGCTTGGAAGTATTGACGTGGACAGACGGTACTAGTTTGATCACACCATGTCAGAACGCAGAATGTTCAATACCACTAGCATGCGCGATGTTCTTAGCACATTGTTTGTCGTGAAGCTTTGAAGGTCGCCACGAGGCTGTGATGTGTAGTGGCCGTCTGCTGGCTGGCCTTGCGGTGGTCTGAGCGGCTCTTTGTCGGCTGGTGGATGTAACCTAATCATGATGCAAATAGCGATGGTCAGGCGACGTGTACGTGCTCGTTTTCTGCCGCCTACCCCGGACCTGCGTCAACGGGTCCACAACCCCGCAAACATCAGCAGCGTTCCACGATACCGGCGACAGCGCAATGTACGACAGCATTTCGATTTGTGAAGCAAGCTCGCGAGTGCAGTATGACGACAATTGTCCAGGGAGACAATGGGGCAAGCAAGCACGTGGGGCGCAAAGGGTCCTGCACGGTGGTCCAAGAATAGACACTAGCGGTTATCGATAGATGCAGGGTGGCGATAGCGGAGCGCAACACCAGGATCGTCAGGGCAGCCCATGCAGGGACGATGTTAGCTGTCAACTTTTGTTTTCGGGGGGTGGGCTTCACAACTGTTTCAAGAGTTGAAGCGCGATGGAAGTGCTCACGAGGACGCCGGAAACAATGTTTGAAGTGCGACGCTGCCGCGGATGCATTTAACACGCGACACAAACGGCTAGCCCTTCCGTGATTTACGGCCTAGCGTGATCGTAGGCGGATGGTGCCCCGTATCTGCGCGGCGGGCCACCCCTTCTTCAAAGAGAGTGTCGCCGCTCGCTCCTGCCTCGATTCACTCCTCAGTGCCCTTCCTTATCCTTCGGGACCACCTTCGCTTTACTAACCAGGCAGTTTAATCTTTCGTTTCCTAAAGACTCTCGCTTTTCGAAACTTCGTCGCCGTACCATCTCAGGGGAACACAAACCACGAATTTCACGCGTGCGCCCTTCCCTTGCTCGCCGCACAACCGCCCGGGCCCCTACACCTGCTGTTTCATCCAACCATCGAGCGTACCTGCCCACGATAACTACAAGAGAGGTCGTGATACCATCATCTTGATCGCTGCGCTACTCCACTTGCCGACGATAAGGTGCTTACACGACATCGACGATCCCGCAAACGGTCCGACATCATGGTACGAAGTCTGCTGTCCGCCGCCTTTACGGCGACAGTACTGGTAGGCACAGCGCTTGCCGGAGCAAAATGCACAAAGGATAGCCACTGTCCTCAGGACACGCCCTGCTGCTCTCGTACGTGTCGCGAAATTCTGTCGCATCGGGGTTGGTGCTAACAAATTCGCAGTATATGGCGACTGCGGTGTCGGCGCTTTCTGCCTCGGTGGCTGCGATCCCCTCATGTCACACAGCTTCGACTCGTGCGTTCCCGGTCCCGTGTGCAAATCCGGCAAATACACACTAGACAACCTCGACGATGTGCAGACCATCGACAAGTACCTCGGCGATGCCTCCAAGATCAACTGGCAGTCGCAGGGCATGCCCACGATATACACAGACCCCAAGACCAAGGAGAAGTCAACGCTCTTGACTATGGCGCAAGGGACAGTCGGAACACTACTGGCGTCTACCTACTACGTCTGGTACGGCAAGATCTGCTCCAAGCTTTCCACAGCGCAGGGCAAGGGTGTCGTCACTGCCTTCATTCTTATGTCGGATGTTAAGGACGAGATCGACTTTGAGTGGGTTGGCGTAGACACAAGCCACGTGCAGTCCAACTTCTACTCGCAGGGTGTCACAGTGTGTAAGTAATCCGAAATTCGGGCTTAGCCACCCTCGTGCATGACTAACGCGATTTCAGACACCAACGGCGAGAACCTCACTGTCCCGGACGCGAACACCGTCGAGACCATGCACGAATACTGCGTTGACTGGAAGGAAGACACCCTGGTATGGTCCATCAACGGCAAGGAACAGCGCAGACTCGAGCGCTCCGACACATGGAACAAGACATCCGGCCGCTTCGACTACCCCCAGACACCCGCGCGCATCATGCTTTCTCTCTGGCCTGCCGGTCTGCCTTCGAACGAAAAGGGTACCATTGAGTGGGCGGGAGGAGAGATCGACTGGAACTCGCCCTACATGACCAACGGATACTACGCCGCCCGCTTCTCGGAAGTCACCGTCGAGTGCTACGACCCACCGGAGGGTGCGCAGATCAAGGGAAAGAAGACCTACAAGTACACGGATGAAGCCGGCACTAACAACACCGTCGCCATCACAGACGATTTAGTCGTTCTGGGCTCGCTCATGGGCACCGGCGAGAACCCAGGAGAGGCCAAGGACAAAGACGACGATTCCAAGGCCACCGATGTTGCCATGGTACCTGGCGGTAACCCTGGAGGTGGCGCTGGACGAGAAGTCGCCGAGACATCAGCTGCCGTACAACCAAATTCGCCTGCGCAAGAGACAGGTTCGTCTGGAAGCGGCGCCACCGCTGAAGGCCAATTCGTCCAAGGTACAACTGGCAGCACTGGTGCTGGATCCGTCATCCAGCCCGGCCTCGGACGCATGGGAGGATCCGTCTTCGCCATCATCGTCGCCATCATGGGCTTGATCGCGTTATAATCGCATTACCCGTGTTTTCTTTTATCGCATTATGCCCTTTTCTCATGTCCGTCTGTCTGTCTATCCTTGGCGTTTAGTTCGATACCTGTGGTCTTGTAGTTTTGTGTACTGGGGAACAGGGGTGAGACGGGTTGCATACTCCCCCTCGTCGTCTTGTGTATAGTGCATACATTCTCCTTCCTCCTTATCGTCCATCACCCGCAGTCTTCTGATTATGACATATGTCCTGTCTAGGTGGTTGAATCTGTTTGATACAATAAATGTAATACCGCATTTCAATCCGCTGCTTCTTTCTTGATGATATGTTGGGAATTGACGAGTAAAGGGTAGCGAAGTAAAGAGTTTTGGTCGAGCTGCAGCATACCCGGATCATCTACAGAAAGTCTCCATCCGGCCATGCACCGCATATGCATGCCCCGCGCGAGCATGGAGGCATATATAAGATGTTCGCAGCATCTCGCCGCAAAGGTACATCCAGTACTAGGATACCTGTCAGCACTACAGTGGTGGGTCTCGGCTAACTACCCCAACCGTTCAGTAGATGCATAATCTCTCCGGCCCCTGTAAACTACCATGTTGATGACTGCAGCCTCGTTCGACGGGAGACAAGATGAGCGAATTGGAAAGAGCTTGGTATGCGGAGTGTTATCTGATGCTGGCCTTTGCATGGACAACATACTTGACCGATGAGATGGGTCGGAACATAAAGACAAGCCCGTCGCAGGAAGGCTGTTCTGGCCTGAAAGGTCCCCTGTTGTCTTGTGCCTACGGCACTTTTGAAGCGTTCTTCAACCATACAACACTTCTTCCCCATCACCATGTCTCTCGCACTCTACGCTCTACTCACTGCCCTGGTAGCAGTAGCAGCCTACAGCCTCCGCAACGTCGGTCGTAGGCCCGCCAACTACCCCCCAGGCCCACCGACACTTCCCATCATAGGAAACCTGCATCTAATGCCGAAAGAGAAGCCGCATCTCCAATTTCAAAAGTGGGCTGAAGAATACGGTCCGGTCTACTCACTTATTCTGGGTACCAAGGTCATGGTCGTGTTGTCGTCGGATCAGGCTGTAAAGGATTTGCTTGATAAACGGAGTGGGATATATTCGTCGCGTCCGGATATGTATCTGGGTCAGATTGTGAGCAATGGGTGTCGTATGCTGCTCATGGTAAGAACGTTCGATAGTCTCGATTGGTGATTGAGCTGACTGTTGTAGCCGTACGGCGATACATGGCGCATGATTCGGAAGATTGTTCATCTTAACCTTAATGTCAAGGCGGCGCGCACATATGTGCCATATCAAGAATTGGAGAACAAGGCCATGCTTGTCGGTTTCTTGGAGAGTCCAGATCTCTTCATCGATCATATTCGTCGTTACACAAACTCTTTGACCACGCAGATGATCTTCGGGTTCCGCACTACAAGCATCGACGATCCCAAGTTGAAACAGCTCTATTCTGTAAGTCAAAATGCAAGACCCCCTCATCTCTCTAACACCACCGCAGGGCTTCGAAAAGTTCTCCGAGCTCATGGGTGAGACTACAGCCAAACTAGTCGACCTCTTCCCCATGCTGCGCTCATTACCCGACTTCGCGCTTCCCCTACGGAAATACGCAAAGGAATTGCACGAAAAAGAGAGCGAACTATATGTCGGCCACTGGCTAAACGTCAAGAAAGCAATTAAAAACGGGACAGCCAAACCCTGCTTCTGCGTCGACCTCGTACGCGCACAAGACGAGGAGAACTTCTCAGATGAGCTCGCCGGGTACGTGAGCGGTTCGTTGCTGGAAGCGGGATCAGACACTACATCCGCCACGCTCATCGGCTGTGCGTAAACCTACCCTCCCTCAATACCCACCATCCTTGCAACTAACCCCCCAAAGTCATCCAAGCAATGATCCTCTTCCCCACCGTTGCAGCCACCGCCCGCTCAGAACTCGACCTCATCTGCGGCGCCCGCCTCCCCACCCTCTCCGACTTACCAAACCTCCCCTACATCCGCAGCTGCGTCAAAGAAAGCATGCGCTGGATGCCCACCGCCATCCTCGGTGTCTAACACGCCGTAATCCGAGACGACGAGTACATGGGGTACAAGATCCCCAAAGGCGCGGGTGTGCTGTGGAACGTATGGGCCATCCACAACGATCCGGCTCGTCATCCTGATCCACGAAGATTCGATCCACAAAGATATTACGAGGATGGGCAG